AGCTACCCTGCGAAGGAAACTCATTTCGGCTGCTTGATAATGATAATTTAAAAAAGAAAAATATCCATTTAAAATTATGGTTTCATAAAATAATAGAAAAATAAATAAAACTGTCCCAGACCAATTAAAATACAATTGCTCTTGAACAGCAAACCACTGTACCTGTCAACGGGCACAGAACTCTAACTGAACATTATAGAAAACACCTGACTTCAGTTATTGCCTTAAAGTGTTGCTCTACAGAATTGGGACACTAATAGAGCCCACTAGTGGTCCATTGCACTTCAGTTTTCACTTTATGATTGCAGCATCATGGTTTTGTTTGCAGCATGTTGTGTGTGGTTGCAGCGTTTTACTGTTGCATTTGTGTTTTTGTGTTTGCATGTTTTGGATTTTACATTGTATGAAAGTTTGCAGCTCATTTTGGCGTTTGCTGCATGTTTTCTCCTGTTTCTCCTGCAGCTTGTTTCTTTTTTTGTTTGCAGCATTTTTTGTTTCCTTTTGTTTTTAATGCTCATGTGTTTTGGTAGCTAGGACAGAAAACTACCCTCACACTCTGTTTATTTCAAACAATCAATCTACCTATTTATACATTTTTTTGGACCCAGACTGTAGAGACTAAAAATACATTTGTAATTCCTAGTATCAGTAATAATAGGGACATGTACTTGTCCATCAACTTCCCAGCAATATCTGAATGCCTCTGCAGCTTTGCCTTCAGCTTCACCATACTGTATTCTAAATGCCTTTCGAGTCTTTTCCATTTTGAAAGCAAAATTTTTTTTTTTGCACTTTTTCAATCTGGATGTTGTTTTTTTTTTTTTTTTTTTTTTTTTTACAACTTTGCTGAGAGTTGTTGAAGATATTAGCCCCATTATTTAGTGGTTTCTTACATTTTACATCTTTTACCCCAGGCCACGTGGTGTTATTGTAAAAATACATAGAAGGGCTTTATTTACTTAACACACAAAAATAACAAATAATACTCCAGCAGGAAAAGGGTAATTTTTCACCAAAACATTGTATGCAACCGGCACATTCCACTGGCATAAACATTTAAAAAATCATATAATAAGACTAAAGCCCTTTAAAGTCAGACAGAGTTTGCCTTTTTTGACACAGCCCAATCTTAAATAAAACATATATTTTGTATAAAGGTAGCATATAATGGTCTAATCAGCCTTCTAGGGCATAGTTTATTTGCATGTCTGCATATTTTCATGCCATTTAAATTGTCATAAAAGGAGGCTAGAAACAGATGGGAAACATGAAAAACAAGGTAGTGGGCCATTTCCTTTTATGTAAAAGTGTTTTAATCAGTCAGTTAGACAACCTCATTTGGTCATCATAGATTCTTAATGATCAGAAGCATTTTAGAGACAGAATGTGTTGCTTGTTGTTATTGAATTTTAGAGTTTCTGAATAAATTCACAATATCGGTCGAGCTCTTCATTAGACTTTCTCATATCTTCAATAATTTGATAAAACACAACCTTGAAAGCAGCAAAAAAGGGTACCTTTGTAATAAATGCAGCCAATGAGATTTACGAAAACAGCAATGGGATTCTGTCTTTTAACTAGATAATGCAAATTTACTTTCCTTTGTGAGAGGAAATGAGTTTCTCAAGAGGTGCAGTTGGTGAAAGACCAGATAAGACAAAGTTACTATGGGAGTATCTGAATCGTCCATGACTCGATTAGCATTCTGATGAGCATAATACCATTTAAAAGAGAATGGTGTAATTCCAAGTGTGATACATTCAAATGACTGTGACTCATTGCGAGAGTGAAAATGCATATGGTATCAATATGAAGCAGCTGAATGATTTTAAAAACCCATTTCCTGAAACACATCATAACCATATTCTAAACAACTTGTATGTCTCAACTGAAAGTTATTTTTAGGTGATCTAAGACAATAGAACTTTATGTGACAATTGTACAGAGCACTTTAGAGGTGTGGTAGCGGCTCAAATCAAAGGTGTGCAACAAAAAAATCTGCAGCAATCATGTGATGCCATCATATCAATATGGACCAAAGCCTCAGAAATGTTTTGGCACCTTTTTAAACTACGCTGAGATGAATTTAGATGATTCCAAATGCAAATGTTGGCCCACCCAGAGGCTAGCATATTTTACCTAATAAAGTGTGCATTAAGTATAGGTGAAGCCGCAATAGAATGCAAAAAAAGTTGCAAAAAATTTGGTATTACATACAATAAAAACAATTATGTTAAAGTAAAATTTTACCAATCACAATATGTTTTCACCAAAAAAAAAAAAAAAGACAACAAGGAAATAAAGCCCACTAAGCAATGATGTGTTTAGCTGTTCCTCCTTGCTGGATATAGACATTAGCATCAAAGACGCGCGTTGTCTGGGTCAGAACGCATTCTTAAAGTGCATATTGACAGGTAACATGTGTCTTGCTGTACCATAATGACGGACGTAAAAAGCGGTGCTTGTAGGTAAAAGATGGCGAAAAAAGCTGTGCAATTTCGGAAAAACGGTTGCTTTTCGTGGGTGAATTTCAATCTTAATGTGATAATTGGATGCGAATAGTGGCATTCTTGGCTTGCCATACATGTCATATAAACAGCACACAGTCAGGGTTGCAGAACCAAAGGAGGCTTGGCTAACAAAGCAACAATTCATGAGATGTATGTTTTCTGCTTTATCTGAAGAATTTCTGTGTCATCCTTCTTCCAGGTGTCAAAATGCTTTGAAAAGTGCTTTGAAAAGTAAAATTTGGCATTTGCTATTCTAAGCAAGTTATTTCCACCAGCGGCTGATAAACATCTACCTCATAAGTGTACACCTGCTGGTGGCTTAGCCTCACACTTGTCCCACCGTCCTGTATCACACCTGGGCATGTTTAACAGGAGAATAAATTTTAGCGCCCAATCTATGTAAATCCCTTTTCTTATATCTAAAGTACATTATCAAAGTAAAAACTATAAAGGAGGTGAGAAATGTTTTTGCCTCCACCTAGTTTGTGTACTTTTAGTATTTTTGTGTTATAGTTCTTAGAAACCAGCTGCTCAGTGGTTCTTTATTTAGTTGTTGTTGTGTTCTACCTTTTCTCTATGCTGGCTGTTGCAAATAAACAGCAAGAAATTCCTCCGAATTCAATAAGCTGAAACAATCTGTTGCTTTCACTTGTGCAAGTCATATGTTTAAGCCTAAGGAGTCAAAAGAGAAAGTCTGGAAGAAAATTGGTTTGAGGGTGGCGTTTTTTTCTTAGATGACTAAAAGGTTTTCATAGATACCTTTTTGAAGAATCCAAAACAAGAAAAAAAGCTGAAAAAGTATTTTAAAGATTTTTCAAGGTGCTTAAAACGTCTAATATAACCGACAAGCAAGAACAGTGAATGACAAAAAGAATGATTGTGTTTATAATTAGTCACATATTTTCTCTCATGCTGTTTGCATGTTCTTTTCATGCTTTCCTGTGTGTGTATTTATGATGTTAACCGTAAGCAGAGAGTAGAATGTCATGGAAGGTTTACATTAGTCAGCAGAAGCAGTGGACCACATCATTAGTCACCCTGACACCCTCTTCTGGCCCCGGCTTTATTGATGAGACCAAGCTCAACAGCTAACCCTCTCTTAACACACAAACACAGACGCTGATCCTCCTCTAAAAGCAACAGGAGACTGATTCAGCAGCTCAGGTGGAGAGGCCAGTACTGTGGCTTGGTATGAGCTAGGAGCTGCCTCGTGTCCAGAAAATTAACATCCAGCAGAGCAGAAAATGTTCAATGTTCAACAATGTTTTTTTTGTCTGCAGTTGGAGTGCACAGCTGATTCAGAAACAAATATCTTTACAACAGATCTGGTCAGGTTGTGAATGGCAGGGCACGATCATAGGGTTCCAAGTGTGTCACAGCAATGAGCTCAAAGCTGTTTATGGCCTCAATGACTCTGACATTTAGCAGGATGCTGCAATTTATCAGGTTCTTAGTCTAACTTAAGCACACAGGCACACAGTGTCACATAAAAGATTACCATTAGGTCTAACAGTGCTGCAACACATAACTTTGTGTACGTTTTAAACTGATGCTATTTGTGTAGATGCGTTTGGGAAAAGAAAAATATTCCTTAAGACATTTATGATTAAATAAAATATAAAAGGAGGAGAAAACAAAACAAATCAATGCATTATAAATGCTCCAAATGTTCCTCCTGAAACACCCAATCAATAAGAATTTACTGTTTTGTAACAGGATACAGCAGCTACTTTCTGTTGATCAGCTTTAGTCCATATATGGCAAAATGTATGCTTTTAAAATCTGTTCATATAAATAAAGCACAGCTTCCCACAATAAAGCAAATATTAGATTATTTTAGAACAGACAGTACTCTTATGTCCCTCATTAATAGCTTTAACCTTAAGCCATTTCAAAATTCATCATGCGAGTTGATATCAAGTTAAGGAGGAGTGCTCTCTGTATGCAGAGTCACTGTTTCAGTTGATTCTAAGAGTGAGTTCTTGCTAACCACAGGGGGAGTTAGAGACAGCAGTAATAGCATAATCTGTTTCTTCATTGCCTCTTTTTTATTTTGTTCAGTAAGGCGTTTTCCACTTTTGCTTCTTTCCCGCATTTCTCAATGTTGCTTTTTTTCAGTGGGTTTTCAAAAGTTGAGCAGTGTCAAATTCATTACTGAAAGGAAATATCCGAAATGCTACTCTATCTTCAGGTGAATGGCAATAAAGAAAAAAAGGAACTGTCAAAGCTGAACTGCGAGCTGAAAAGTGCTCTTTCTCTGTAGTTAATATATAAAAAGTTCAGAAAAAACAGTGAAGACAACAGACCTTCCTTTTGCAGGCTTTGGGGCCACAGAATCAGATATTTCAACTTAGGCTGTAATCAAACATTTACCCACACAGCTAGAAATAGAAATGGATTCATTTCCAGAGTCATTCACACCATCTCATAAACAAGCATGCACATACACACAGCAAATCACAACCAGATAAAAGATGTGTGTGCTCTTACCCGAGCGTTGTCATAGTAACAATGGTGTACCAAAAGGAGGCTGGGATGCTGGTGAATTTGCTGGAGCTTGAACCCTTCTCTGCGTAGAACATGACAGTGGCAAAGATAATTATGGCCATGGTAAGGGAGAAGAGCAGGAAGCCCAGCTCCGAGGCACAGCTCTTCAGCGTGTAACCCAGGATGCGCAGGCCCTGAGAGTGACGGGAGAACTTAAAGATACGAAACACCCGGAAAACCCGCAGAGTCACGAAAGCCCCGCTCACGTCCTCATTGTCGGTCATCACCAGCCCAATGTAATATGGCAGGATGGCCACCACATCTATGATACTCATGACGGACCTCATGAAGCGGTAGCGGTTGGGGGCTGCAAACAGGCGCATCAGGTATTCCACGGTGAAGATCATCACACAGGCTGTGTCCATGCAGAAAAAGGCCACAGTGTAGCGCTCGCCACATGGCACTTCCTTCATGTTTGGCACCGAGCCACAGGGCACCGTCTCTACCACATTAGTGATGACAGAAACAGCAATAAAAAAACCAGTGACATAGTAAAAGACCAGAGCCATAGTTGAAGTGTGAGGGTTCTCAAAAGCCCGCCACATGGTCTCCCTGAACGTCATATTGGGCAGCTTGGCATCTTTGTTGTCCTCCTGATCGTCCATGAGACGTTCTGCATTCTCCCTCTTCCTGTCCTTGTACTCTTCATAGCAGCAATCCCCAATAATCTCTGGAACAATGCCAAAGAAGGCCAGCTCCTCATCATACGAGGAGATGCACTCATATCGTGGATAGTGGAGCTTACCAGTGCGGTAGAAGTTGAGCACACTGCGAAACACATCAGGATCACGGTCAAAGAAGTACTCCTTGGTGTCCTCATTGTAGAAGAACTCCTTTTCCGAGCTACCGAGCAGCGTGTCCGGATAGCGGTCCAGCGTGTTCCTCCAGGTCTGGTAACGGCGTCCGCTGACATTAAGGACAATGAGCTCATCCTGCCTCTTGTTCTTTTCGGTGGGGGCAACTGGCATGGGCAAGTTGGCCACAGGCATCCAGCCGATCGCCGCTGCCCGGGCAAACGGAAGCCATGCTGCTACTCCCGCTGCCATGATGGTTCTGGCTCGGGGGAGCAAAGGGGAACAGGTCAAGCACCTTCGCTACCAGCCTTACTTCAGCTTCTTCACCATCTAGCATAAAAAGAGGGAAGAAATTTGAGAGGTTGGGGATTATTTACTTCAAAGGGATATGTCAACTACACCAAAGATATGTGGAATTTCTATCTGTTATTAAAATAAAAAAAAACAGAAGCTTCAATGTAAAGAACATTGCAATCTAAATAAAGGAAGAAAAGCCAGCCTTTTTTTATTAGACAGCTGCTATAATGTATTCTTAATGGATAATCTTGCTGGATTACTAAAAGTATGATTAAAATATTGTTAATCATCAAATAAAAGAGAACTACATTGCTAGATATAGTTTTGTTTGGTAAAACTTGCTTAGCTATAGAGACACACTGCACCCTCAGAGAGCATTTTCTGCCTTGACTTCAAGGTTATCTTTCCTTACTGATTCCAGAGGAACTGCTGTGAGAGAGAACCTCCTCATGTCACAATTAACAGCAGGTAACTTAGAGGTCATAGAAGATAAATAGGAGAGCAAAATGCCTAAGTTGGTGAGGTTTTATCCTTTACATTGCTTTAAAACTTTGACTTTGTTAAAGGTTTTATTGGGGGAAGATGAAAAACCTGTTGAGTTCCAACTCAAACAGGGACTAAATAAATACATACAAAAAAAAAAAAAAAAAAAAAAGAGTGTGAGTATACCCACTTCTTCAGGCACCACTACACTACTGACAGCACCTATACATTACATTATCCAGGGCCTACTTAGCAGAACACAATTATTTCAATTCAATGTATTAACATTTTATAACATTAAAAGTAAACTGAGCATATCAGTTGTAGTACGTCCCTCTTTTCAGAGCAGCCGTGTAGCAATTGTGTACGTATTGGAGAACCTGTGGAATATTGGTCACTAAATGATCCTGCTGCATCTTGGGTGAACATATACAAAAAAAAAAGAGTAGGACAGGACTCGAGAACACCAAGATGCAGGATAAAAAAAGGTAATCTATGGCTCTGAGTTTGGCTCGTCCTTACCATGGAAGGTTAACAATGACTGGCAAACTGCTTCTCTTATGCTTAGTTGATTGGTGGATGGGATTCACCTGTGTGCAATCACACAGGTAAAGGAGGGGCAGCAAAGCCAGCCGCAATCTCAGACAACCAACCCACCCAAACAATCCCAAAACCTGACAGATAGGTCTGTTTAAAAGGACAAAATATATTTTTTAAATAATAAAAATCCTAATGTTGAAAAAATAAAATCATAATGCTAGTTCTATGAGATTAAAGTAATAAAAGTATGAAAATAAAGTCAAATTGTTAAAAAAATAAAGTAATAACACCAAATCTACCAGAAAGAACTGTAAAAAGATTAGTTTAAACTTGGGATATTACCTGAACAGTCATAAAACTTTGAGATTAAAGTCATAACTTTATGAGAATAAAGTTCTACTATTACAAGTTATTCATTTTTTTTATTAAGATTTGTGTATTTTAGTGTGTTTGTTTGTGTTTTACTGTATGTCATGTGTATATATTTGTATTCTGCATCAGTGTCTTCTGCCATTGCTTTCTTGTTTGTAAGTGTTTCAGGTTACCTCTTAGTTTATTACTTTTTCTCCTTCAGCTTTGTTGCTTTAATCCTACCACAGCTGTTCCAGATTTCCTGATAAGCTCATGTGGTTCCTTTTTTTTGTTCTCCACCAATCACGGGATAATTATTTGTCCTTTATTCTATTACAATGTCCATAGTTTACTTGTACTCCATAATCTGTTACCTGTTTAATCCCTATTAATTCTGTCACTTTTTTATTTTTATGAGTCAGTCTCCTTACTTGGGTCCTTCACTTCTACAAAAAGCATAACATAAGTGTGATTCCATTCCATTTAATGGAACTTAATAAATTGCAATTAACATCTAAAGAGCACTACATTGAAAAAGATAACCACAAACTGGTTTCATTAAAGGAAGGCAGTCAGCCACTAACACACANAAAAAAAAAAAAAAAAACTAGATGATCCATCTTTTACTTTCAAAATTAAGCAAACTAGCCGCTGATGCGCATTTAAATAAACCATTTTCATTTGGCAATGTTCATTTCAAACTACGCTGGAGAACCTGAAGGCGCAATGAACCAAAGAGACACAGAACAGGTTGGTAAAAACATCCTCTTTGCAGCTCAGTGTCGCCAGTCAGACTTCAAACTCCCCGATCCTAAATTCTCCATGAAGAGAAACACGTCCGTCTCCAAGAACAGTTAAGTTACAACCAGACAGCGTGTTTTTTTATTACCGTGTCCGAAAAAAATATGCCACATAAGAAGTTATTCAGCTAAAAAGAAAGACATTTCTACTAAGAAGGGGAGGAAAGTGGAAAAGTAGCATTGAGCGACGTACCGCAGCTGTTTTCTGTCAGTTTCCATGATGCAGGAGGAGAAATGATGAGCGCAGTCCGCTGAGAGGAGCGCGTTACCTTGGCTTTTAGGGATGACTAGTAGGAAGAGACTGAGGAGGAGGAGGAGGAGCGCTCTTCCTCTCTCTCCTCCTCCCTCTCTCTCCCTCTTTGCGCAGCGATGGTTTATGAACCCAACCGCAGTTGATTCAGGATTTTAGGAAATGCATCATGACCGGTTGATTTAAAGGTTTATTTGTTGTTGTTTTTTTTCTGCAGAAATAACGAACTAGAAGTATTGCATTTGTTCCTATAGATATGCAAATTCTGTTTTAATTAACTTTTCAACATTTTTGCATTTGTCTTAAGTGAAAGCACAGCACTTTAAATGTCTTTAGAACATCTATATAAACCGAGCAACATGAAAGAAAGAGAGTTCAACGTTCAGGAAGTCTCTCAAAGCAGTTCTTTTAATGAATAAAAGGGATTTATTCAATGGCATAACTATCGGGCTGCAGGGGCCCCACGTTATTGACACCTGGTTGGCCCACTACGCAATTGTGGACTAGGTCGTCTCTTTGCGGATGGTATGGTGAGATTACACTAGTTTTCACTAGATGCGTATGGCGGCAATGATCTGCATTGGATGGCGCACATGACGAAAAATAAATATTTATAAACATAAAACCGAAGCCAAGAGTAACGGGTAACGTTTGTTTTGAAAATGTAAGGAATAGAAAGTACTCAAGTGAAATGTGTGAAAAGTGTAATGAGTAGAAGTCAGAAGTAGGATGAATAATAAGTAATAGAGTGAAGTATAGATACCTAAAAAGTGTCCTTAAGTACAGTAACAAAGTATTTGTACTTTGTTACTTGACACTTCTGTTTTTAGGTCATAATGACCATTGTCACATTTGGATAAAAAAAAAAGGTTTTTAAAAAAAGTGCTGCAGGTAGCCTACTGGTGAACCAACAAAATTAAATACAAAAAGAAAAAGAAAATGTCTTAATATTTATTTACTTTAACATTATAGGTTTATGTATTACCTAGCCAAATTGAAACAGTTGTGTTAAAGTAACTTCATAAGATTAACTAAATGCAAGAAACAGCTACATAATGTTTTGTCCGTGAACATTATTTGAAAACATTGAAGCAGCATCTTAAGAAAAATTAAAGCTTAGCCAAAAATATATAGCAAAAATGTAATGTAGAAATCTGGTGTTTCTGTCTGTACATACACACACAAAAGACTCATACCCAAATACAAAATGAAAAACACTTATTACAAAGTTTCACTCCCTCACTCAAATCGTATTTGTACAAAACACTTTTATCTGTTCATGGTCAGACGTTCAATATAAAAAAAGTGCAGCACAACTTTGGAAAACTTTAACAGAGTCACCGTATGAATAGAAATACAGTATAAATAATTTTCAGCAAAAGAAGGTTTGATATGCATATTGGTATAACTGAGAGGAATGCTCAGTGTGATGATTATAAATTAAAGTTAGAAAATATACCTTTGTAACACATTTGAGCATTGCCATGTATCAGTCATTCCAACCAGCAAACTAAGGACACAGGTCCTCAGTCTTCAAAGCAAAGACTAGAAACTGGGAATGATTTGTCTCCTACAGTATGCCACAAATAGCCTATATTACCTGAAATACTTAACAAGAATGTATCAACAACTACATCAAACCTTTTTAACAAAAACTGGACTTTTCTATGATTATACGATGGTTAAAATTGGGGAAGGTTTAGGTCTGTTCAACATGCTTTAAAATTTTACACTATGAGGTTTTTATACAGTAGACGCCTGGTGTATAAGGTGTTTTGTTAAAATTCCTTTTACAGTGTGGGGGATTTACCTCCTCAATAACAGGTGCTTAAACAATGACTTTTTGTCTTAAAAAAAAAAAGAAAGAAAAAAAGAGTATTATGGGGAAGGTTTAAGTCTTTGTCTGTATTGATGTAACTTTAAGAACTTCTCACCACTCTCTTTTTTTTCTTGGAGGTCACCTGGTCAGGTGTTGCCATGGAAGCGCGGCCATGAGCAGTGCTGACAAGCAGCTGGTGTTTCCAATCAGCCTCATAAGGGAAATCCACACTGACTGAGAGGAAGGGGAGATTTTTTGGGTTTTGTTTGTATTTGGATTATTGCTTAGCTTCATTTTGTCCAAATTTAATTTAAATAGATTTTTATTTTGTTTTCCTCTAGAGGTTTAATTTAATTGATTGCTTCTCCAAATAGAAAATGTAGATGTTGTAAAGGTTTCCACTCCTTTTATTAGAGATGGCTTCTTCAATAAATATATAGCAAAAGTAACAAGCATCAGTGCATTTTTTTGCTGACTTTATCTGATGCACCAAAACAAATACTAAGTACACATGAATTGTAAATATCTTTCTTTGTGAAAATAAAAGAAATCTAAAAGTATTAGCTTCCAACACACTTTTCTCTGATACTCCTAAATTGACAGTGTAACTAGCTCCCTTCAGAAGTCGTACAATCAGTTAAAAAAATCTATTGTGTGTATTCTTATCTCAGCATAAATACAGCTGCTCCTTCGAGGCCTCGGGGGATATGTTAGGAAAGATTAGGAAACAAACAGTCTATAAAGATCAAGGGACACATCAGCCAATATGAAGGGACAAACAAGTTCGAAGATTTAAGACAGGGTTAAATTGTATAAACAATATCCTGGGCTTTGAGCGTCTAGCTAAGCAATGTCCAATCCATGGTCTGGAAATGGAAAAAAAAAAAAAAAACTCAGTGGGCTACACATTTAAACATACTAAGACATAGCCATCCACCTACCCTTACAGGGTAGGTAAGGAGGGCAGTATTCATAGAAACAGTCAAGAGGCCCATGGTAAAATCCAGAAGAGGTGCCGATCAGTTCAGACAGGTCACTCTGTTACAAGGACAGCTCTAATTTTTCAGAAAAAACCTACATATACAACCAGACTTAAAAGGGAGTTACTTAGTTTGAAGCACATTTGTGTTTCAGAATGACTCAGTCATAGTGCAAGCCTGACTATTTAGAAGACTGTACTGCGCCAGTACTTAATAAAATGGCATACATTCTTGTTTCATGTTATGGTCAGCTGGTCCAATGAAGTACTAAAAGACATAATTTTCAAGTAGAAATCAAGATGTTTTTACAAGGTTTTTACTTAGGAGATATATAAATACTCATACTTCTAGATTATGGATTCTACAACTTACTGACAAACAAATATTTATTTTTTTGGTTAATAAGTGTTCACTACTTTGAGTCAATACACGACAATCCCAATAAAGACGCAGATCTTTTTGACTCTTTTTTGCAATGTGCACAAAAGTGAAAAGTTGAATTGAAAAGATATGAATTATTTTGCAAGGCACTATAATCAAAGTTGAATTATGCACATGCATATACCCTTATTCATATTCAGATATAGTTGATATTAATTTCTTTCTCCCCACATTAAATTAGAGCCATGCAAAGCAATACGCAGCTCTAATTAAGTCAACAGGGATCATATCCTGCTGATACATAGTCTATCAGAATATCAATAGAGTAACAGCCCACATGCAGACTGTAACACATCTCGCTAAATCACTCTGCTCATATAAATTCAACATGAAAAAAAAAAAAAATCTTCTTCCCAAGCTTTATGTTCTATCATAAAGTCATCATATTATGTCTTATATACCCTTGTTTAAAAATGAAAAATTGCACATCATTGGAGCAGCATACATTCCCTTGCCCGCATAAACTTAGATGCACTTGTTTATGCTTCTACAGTCCTGTATAGGTATCCTCAGAGACAGCTTGTCCTCTTTTCTTTGGACTCAATCTGGTCTGTGCCCATAAACTGGCATCTTGGAAACAGAAAAAATGGCCAACATGACCCTTCCTTGTAAAAAATGAAATAAAACAGATTTCCTTATTAAACTCAGACTGGACCACAGAAGAAGAGGAACTGAGAACAAGAAATAGACATAGAATGATCAGTCCTCACAAATACGAGGTCAAAGACACATACAGGACAGAGACTGGCCTTTGCAAACAAATTACCTTTAAGAGGTTTCAATAACATAAATGTCACAGAATAACAAGTTGGGCTGTATTACATGGTCAACTGCCCTCAGTAATTTTCTGTCAACTCTAAGGTGACATTAAAATCATAAATACTATGTGTTTTAGCTGCCTAAAACTAGCTTGTTTAGTGGAAAATTCTACTGGGTCTTAAAAGGGAGAATCCTTATATTGTGGGAAAAAAGTATTCAACTATTCGATCCCAGTTAAATAAATGGAGATTTATGGGTTTCACTCAGTCAGCACTTTATTTTTATAACTTTGCAAAGAAAGAACAGTACATCATATGATCCTTATGACATGATAATCAGCCTTGTTCTGATCTAGAAAGAGTTTGTCTCCCTTACTTGTAATGAGGAAATAGCTGTAAAGGTGGTGTCAGAGTAAAAACAAACTACACACACTTTGGTTGGATGAATGGATGGAGGGGTTGGTCTTAGGAGCTCAGTGGATTAAAAGTAATACAATTGAAACATTTTCTACAATCAAACTGTCAAATAAACTGCAAGATATAAGGGACAGAAAAACAATAGCTTAGTCCCATAAAGCAGTAAATTATGTAGAATCAGAAAGCAGAATCAAAAGATGCCGAGATATATAATGTTCAAGTGTCCCCAGTTTTAAAAATCGTGTAGTGTCATCATTAAATCAAGTCATGAAGACCTTATTGGATTTCTATACAGCTTAAATTTGTGTTTCATATTGAAATGGATGCAATTTATGTTAATTTTTATGGATATGTTTTTATCATTGACATTGTTGATATCTATCACATACATGTAGTCTAATATATTTATTATTATGCATGCAGCTAATTTATTTAACCCTTGAGCTTCAAAAATGCCAAGTAAGAGAAGGTAAAAAAAAAGATGGGCATGCAATAAGTGGGTGTGTTGTATAGGATCTACAAAAATGATGCAAAAGATGTTGCCTGCTGAATGACACATAGAAATCACTTTGCACCTTGTCCAAAAATCAGCTATCCATGTTCAAATTAGTTAGA